CTCTCTCTCTCTCTCTCCTCTCTCTCTCTCTCTCTCTCTCTCTCTCTCTCTCTCTCTCTCTCTCTCTCTCTCTCGTCTCGTCTCTCTCTCTCTCTCTCTCTCTCTCTCTCTCTCTCTCGAGCGGCGCGGCGCTCGTTCGCGACGATAATTCAGGCGGAGCGGAGCGGAGTTAGCGTCGGCGATGCAATAAACGAGGCCTCGGGATTTATGCGAGCGCCGGTAGCTGTATTGCCTCGAGGCGCGGCCGTGATATTAGATTAATTATCTTAATTGCGCCTTCAACGCCTTTTCCTATGCGGCAAGTGTCTAGCGTGCGCTCGTACGCTCGCACGTTCGCACGCTCGCTCTCTTCACGTGCGCTTAACTTTATGCCACTCGCGGCTATTTGCACTTATAACCAGACGACCTACGAGAGCGTGGTGCAATTCGCGCCTTTGTGTGCGCACGTACGTGCAGGCGGCTCGCACAAACGAGCGGCAGTGTCGATAGAACGCTCAAGATATACGCGTGCGGCACGGATTACACATTGCGCTCCGGGACGCGGTGCGACGCGAAGAAACTTTTTTTCCGCGAATCGCGAGCTAGGTGTGCGGAATCGAAAGTGATTTATCGCCGCTGACGTCTGACCGCCTGCACTCCCGGAGTCTCGGAGTCCACGATCATTTTTCACCGCGATGCCGCTGCGATACCGTATCGATTCATGAGATACGATTCGATCTATTCGCCGATTCCCCGCGGCAACGTGTTTCTCTCGCCCGATCATCGCGAACAGTCGCGTAATCTCGGCGCGATTTATCGATCCATCACGAGCGATCGTTTACGTAAGAGAAATCGAGCGCGTCACGCGGCTTTAATGGTATCCACGATTAATCTACGTTAATAAGTTCTTTTATTCGTTTATAAAGTCTGTCCTTTGTACGACTAACTAAAGCACAGAGACAGAAGTCATCAGTCGTGTCTGGTGCCTAAAGGACCGATCTCGGTAAGCAGAAGAATAAAACTGAACATTACCCGTGAGCCGAGGACGAAGAGAGACGTACCTTGCTAGAGAGTATCCTATACCGGGGGCACGGCGGACTATTGATTTGGCGCGCTCTCGCACTTACGTACAGAAACCGGAAAGCCTGCACACCCTTTCAGGGCTGCAACGAGTGCATGTCACGGATGCATCCACGAGGAGGAGCGTGCGCGGAGCGAGCGGGCGAAAGCGCGCCGCTCTGTATTGGTGAACTGATCGCATTACACGGCATTAAGACACCGGTAAGCCTCTCGTTGTGCGGAAACCGCTATAGCCGAGACTTACACGAGATTTAGGCTTGTTCCGTTTGCACGAGACGATGCATTAGATTTGCCCCCCCCCTTCCCTTCCTGCGCCGCGTCGCGCCTCGCCGCGCCGCGCCCTCGTAATCCCGGCCCGTCATTCGACTCGATTGTCGACGGTAATGTACCATCGAGTTTCCTTTGCGTGATTAGGAGCATTCCAGGAATTTTGTTCGAGCCCGTTGAAAGGATCCGCGTGCGCCAATTAATTCTGTATTAGGTTGCGGAATCGAATATTTCGACTTGGTACGATTATGGGAGGCATTGCGGAGCTCATATCGTCGTCTAAACGAACGACCTCAAGGGAAGGATAAAAGAATCGTTCCATTTCGCCGAAATCTCTTTACAAATATATTACCGCGTGCGAAAACAGACAAATGGCATTTCAGCAAAAACGAAAGCAAAAATCGAGAGATCGAGAAGGCAAGAAGCGTGTATATTGTTGTGACATACGTTTTATATATATATATATACATACACGTTAGCAAATAAGAAAGATACTTAAATTATCAGTTGGCCCGTATGTTTTTTTGACAAAAGGAGATTACCAGCGATAAGATGGATATCTTTTTTTTTAATCGGGAGTAAAACCTAGGGCTAAGTCCATCTACAATTATATCTCGTAGGAATGCTTTGTTGCAATGCGGAGAAACGCACTGGAATCCCAACGATTTTCGCTCTCCGGATAATTAACTGCAAAAGTTAAGTAAAAACTGCAAAAGTTAAGTTAAGTAAAACTCACCGGCTCCGTCCAGATTTCTCGGCGTATCTTGCTCCGTTCATTAATCAGAAAAACGTTTAAACGCGGTAACGGGCGAGTGCCGATCGCGAAAATTAATCCCGGAGAGACAATGGTCAACGTCACGGCTTTTAATTTAATTATCCGCGCTAATGGACCGCCTAGGAAATACATATCGCTCGCGTTTGTGTCTATTTTAACGCGCGATCATGGGAGTTTCACGAGCGAATGGGTTAATCCATGCCGCGCGTATCGCAATACGATCTTACCGCGGCATATATGATGATAAATGACGTGACAACTCGCCGCACCGCACCGCACCGGAGCGGTTCCTTCTTCCCTTTTCTTCCACTCCTTTTTTTCTCTTCCTTTTCTCTTTTTTTAAGCGGCGTGGCGAATCAACTCGTCACGCTCGAGTGGCGTTACATCTCGTGACGAAATGCCGCGCGTCGCGCGTTGTTAAAAAATTAACGAAACAATGCGCCGGCTGTCAGTGTCGTTTAACGCTATCGCGAGTGTAACGATTTCGTTTGAGTATATAGTTGAGTATATAGCAGTTACTCTGTATCATTATATCATTATATAAGGGATATCTCTTGTTTAAGTAAAACGATTTGATTCCGATGAGATTGATTTCGCTATGCATTGTCGATCATATTTTGCATCATTCTCATAGATTATTCGCTTCCGAGAGTATTATATAGAAATTTATTATGTATTATGTATTTATTATGTATATGTACGATTGAAGATAGCGCGTGTAAAAGAAACAACGCGTGAGTTTCGTGCTTTCATTGGAAGATCTAGCACGGCTCTTGAAGCGCAGTCTTTGTGCAGCCACAAAACGATCCGTAGAGCCAATATAAAATTCAAAGCCGCCAAGAGTGGCACCCTCCATGTTAACGATAGCGCCGCCCCTGAGCATCAGTATGCTAATCCGATGATTGGCTATGTTCCAACCCTGATCCCTCTCTCTCTCTCCCTCTCACTCTCTTTCTCTCGCGTCTCCGTCTCTTTCTAATAGTATTTTCCTGTCCGTATTCTCTCTCTTTCTCTCTCTCCGGTTTCCCTGTGGCTTCCTGATGGCATCCAACCACCCTTAACCGAAACCATAAGCCAAAACTAACCCTTATTCTAATTAGGTGGTGCCGCGACGACGCGCCCCCCTGCTTTGCATATTTTCTCGATTAACCTCGCCCTTTCTTTATACGCTCGACGTCGCAGACCGCCGCAATTTTCCGAAAATTTTCTGAACTGCGGCTTGCATCATTCTTTTTTTTTTGGTTTTTTTTACGTGACATAACGGCGCGTCTTAAGATACACTGTCGTCACAGAATATTTTTTTTATTTAAATTTTGAGAATTTCTTCGAACGATATAACAAGAATTAGGAACGGTTTAAATTGTTATGCATAGCGAACTTAATTTCATCAAAATCCACTCGAGTTTTCACCCCGCGATCAATGGGCTCAAAATGGGTTTCCATAGCCGCCGTCAGTCCAGGGCAACGACGGGCCAGCATCCCCCCTGAGGGGTCGTTTGCTGACATAAGCTCATAAACCTGCAATATTGAATACAAATGGACGGCACTGCCAGCAATGCGGAGTGCAAATGAGCCCTGTGGAACGAACCCTTAGCTCCGGGGGTGACCCTAAGGTCGGCATAATAGCGTCGATCGAGGGGATGCTCGAAAGGTCTACGATCAATTAGGTCGACCCCGAAGACAGATTCGCGCTCTTTGCTCTTCACAAAACGCGATTCAAAGAGAGGACATGTCTACTTTGCATTTAGGGTAGTTTTTAATCCGTCCTATATCGACGTAAATTTTGAGTCGTGCAACTTTCCTCATAGGATACTCATTGGACGATCTAAATATCGTCTTACCGACTTTTTTTGTAACTCTTTCCTGATTATCGATATTATATAATATTCGAAAATTTTTGTAAATAAATCTCGTGAAATTGTAATAGAACGAACTGAAAATAACTCGGCAACACGTATACATATATAAAAAAAGGATTTATATATCTACTATATACATTTATTTGAATTTCAGGAAAGTGTTAAAAAATGTATCGTGTTTAAAATGCAGTTTTGAAAGCGATACTCACTTTTTCTCGCGCTTCCCCGCGCCGGTATCCCGAAATCCTTTCGCGAAGGGGTTGTTATCGATCTTGAGCTGGGTGATCTGCAAGTAAAATCAACATATTTGAGCATAAATCTAAAAAAGTCTAGGATTTAAATAATACCTCGTTAGGACGGATCGAGCCGACTTGTATGAAACCAAATATGCTTTCTCGTACGTTACTTCGTATTCGGCCGATATACCGAGAAGGCGCGATAATTAAGATAGGGAGTTTACAACCGACCAACCAAAAATCTGTACAAGGCCCGGTTTCTTCTTACGGCCACGTGCGTGCGTGTGAGCAATTCATTCACTACTGAAAATAATGCGTACCGAGAAGACGTTATTCCACGAAATAATGCTCGCGCCCGTGGACTTTATCAAGACACAGAAACGCGGAGAAATATTAATTAACGGAAGGCCAGAAACCAAAACGGCCCGCTCTTCCAGATCGTAACGCGAGATTGTTCCTTTCTAACGAATTCACGCTGCCGCGAGGGCTTTACGTTTCCTCTACGGATAATAAGGTGACGAATTTTTGACGAAGGAAAGTGAAGGAGGAACAGTATCTCTGCCTCGATATATTTTATCAAATAAACAGAAAAAAAATTTTATCTCTTTTTTTTTTTAACACAAAGTCTCTCTTCGGTTTTCCGCAAGATTGCATTTCGACCCGAAATTAATCTGACGAAAGATCTCTTTCGCGTGTGTTCGAGCAAAGCAGAGGTTGCTTACCTTCTCGTTTTGATAGGCCGTCACGGCGATGAATTCCGTCTCCTTGAAAACGTAACTTCTGAACGTCGAATACGGAAGTTTCAGGATGTCGTTGGCTCGCACGAGGTGAAACCTCGGCTGATACTTGTGCATCGAGTTCAGTATTGTCTGCAATAAGGAAGGGAGGATACATTGGGACAGATTGTTTTAGGCTAGCTTTGACAAAGAACGTTTGCAATTATTTCGCTTCATTCGCACCCTCAGACCAATTGCTCGACGCTCCCGCGACGGGATTACTTCAAAGTCAGCCAAGGGAAGAATGCGGCACGCGAATCAAAGCAGTTTCTTTCTACATTTTTTTTCTTTTTAACTTCTTCGAACTACAGAGCGGGTTTTTTTCGTTCTTATACTTATATTAACAAGCTTCGGAGCGTTCCAATTAGTGGAAGTCGCGGAACTCCGAAGTCTCGTGATTAGCCATTCGCGAGCGTGGTCTGAAAGTGATCTACGGCACGGCGCAAAATTAAGAAACAAAAGCGGCGCGAGACACGAGAGAGCGATTTTGCACGAAGAAAAATATAGAGATATGTCAGATTAAAAAAAGTGTCAAGAAGGTGTTGCCGTTAATCACACAATCAGAGAGCGTGCGCCGCGGCACGTTACTCTTTCTCCCGGTTAATTAATCTTCGCGCAAGTATTTCATAAAGTTTTCCGTGCGGGCCAAGAAGGCATGAGCTTGGCAAAGCGGTTATTACACTGATGCATCATGCCGAGCTGATCGATACAAAGTCTGCAAATGCAAATCGAGCTTCCCGAGCGTGCTTCGCGCCGGCTTTATCGTCGCTAACGATGACGATCGTGATTACATATTTACATTACAGGAACGTAATTGTTTGTCAAAGACAGTCACAATATTTTTTTCATTAGCGTTCAACTTGGTTCGCTAATTTGCAAAAATGACTAAAATGATAAAATGGTGTTTACTTACCGATCGGATACCGTACGCGTTGTCGCGCTTGTCGCGACTGAATTGCTGCTATTCCGCGTGTTCGTATATAAACTTGTCAATTTGTCGAAATAACGAAATAAGAAAAAGTTTCCCGATTACGATAATTTATCGATTTCATCTCGCGATTAAAAAACTGGCGTTACACGGCGAACGCCCCATCGATCTTGTTAAAACGGACGCGAATATGCACGTGCGAGTCGCTCGCGAGGCTCACGTCGCGTCCGGAGCAAATTTGCCCGCGCACGCGTTGCTTTTATTATCCGATCCGGCCGTTCAGAATATTCCGGCATGCGAAACAAAAAGGAAAGAACTCGCATAACTCGCGCACGCGTCCGTCGCGTCCGTGCGTAAGGAGAACGAGAGAGAGAGAGAGAGAGAGAGAGAGAGAGAGAGAGAGAGAGAGAGAGAGAGAATGAGAGAGAGATTAATATAAGTGGTAACGAGCAAATTACTGGCTGACGTGAACGCGGCCGATCGATGACCGGAAGTCGTGTGTGTCGTCGCTCGATTCCGCCGTCGAATTCACGAAGATGGATTTTAAGATCCGCGCGACGGAAGGCAGTTCCGCCCGCTATCGGCCTTCAAGTCGTCATCGGCATAATTTATATGGTGATTATTCAGCACATACATAGCGATCGATAGGCACCGAAACATGGCTGGCCGTATTCTAGATATTGGTCGCCCTGGCGGACCCAATCGAATTCACTTATTAATTCAATCCGGAATCCGCAGTCCCGCTGCCACTTGGCCAAATAAAACGTATCCGATGCCGCGCCATCACTCGTATATCGCGGCTACATCGTGCGAGCGAAGGAGCGAGATTAATTTCAGCGTGGCGTCGAAACCGGTTCATCCGCCACCGCGCGAAGATCGTGCTGTTTCTGTTAAACCGAGAATCTTAAATCCTCGCGTTCGTCAAAGGAAACATTTATTATCCGAGAGATTGTTGCGGCTTGCGCATCCTTAAATCGGATCCGACGCCTCGGGATACTAAACAAGTTTTACGAGAAATTTCAGCTGTAAAAGCTAAAGCTGTACGTAATAAAGTATTTTACATTATTTTTATGATCTCCCTAATAAGATACGGGATATAAGATGGTGTATCGATTCAAGTTTTGGTCGTCAAGCAATATCATTAAGGTATTAATACCGAGTTAGTCTAGAAATCTAGAAGGCAGACATGCCAAGGATCGTTCGTGGAAGCCTTACAATTTTTGCAATTTTTTATCTGTAATTAACTGCGAAGGCCAAATCATTATATAAATATATATATATATATATATATATATATATATATATACGAAAGGTATAAGTATCGCGCTCTCGAGAGTATACCAGTGTATACACATGTTCTAACCTTCTGTAAACTTTCTATAAAAGGAAAATACTTATTGACCGAAACAAGTAGTGTCGCAAATTCGCGAAAAAAATTCGCCAATTAAAATAAATGCGGTGGGTATTCTACACACTATTCTATCTGCTATAAAAATAAAACGCGTACATACCAGAAAAATATTCGATTTACAATATTTAATAGATTAACACATACTGTCTACACAATGATAACATGCATCGATGGAATATGAGCGAAATGACGTTTTCGACGGAGGAAGAAAGCGATCGAGTAGCGCGATTAAAAAAAAAAAGTACAGTTATAATTCTGATTTTGGGCTGATATTGGTTCTTCATTTTCACTTTTCCTTATGTTCCTTTGATGATTCCCCATCGCGTTTCTCGCCGGCCGTTCCTCCTTTCGTTTTATGCAAATACCGCTCGGAGCATCGCTTTGCCGCAAGAACAGTAACTAACAAGATTGCCGAGAACATTCCGTCGACGACGAGGAATGAACGGATGCAGCCTCCGTTGCTGTTGGCTGATAAATCTGTTTATACCAAATGCTTCACTCACGGAGCCTGAATAATTACCATACATTCGAGGAAAACTTTCGCGGCTGGAAAATGTTTTGAAAAGGGGATGCGCGAATATAACGTGTCTTTTAACGAATCGTAAACTACCGTCGATAAATGCCGTCGATAAATGAGGGGAAGAAACGAGCACGGCTAAAGGATCATGACTCTTTAAAGCGTAGAGCAAATTACCCCGGAAAAGTTTCCGATACTGAGGAAAGTTCTTAATAACGTTAACTAAACGCTAAAATTCTCGAAATAGTAAAACCGCTTTTTAGTAATGTATGTACAATACTATCATAGTAATGTGCTCAGAGGAGGCAGAGAAATCCCCAAAAAGTTTATTTTTCATTAAAATTGATTTTACTAACGAAGGTTTTATATAACAAAAATTTAATAAAAAATTTAATAAAAGAATAATAAATTCCATACAAAAATCTCACATAAAAAATCCTTGAATTAAAAATTTATTAAAATACTAAAATCATTTAAAAAGTAAAACTTTTATATTATAATTTTGTGATGAAAATTTTAATTTAATCTTACATAATTCTATGTGTGTACATTGAAATGTGATCATTAGTCTGCTAAATCCCCATGGCGATAAGACAGAAGAACTAAAAAAATTTAAAAGGACCGCAAAATATATCCAGGAATAAATCAGCATGTTTGCAGCTAGTCGCGTAAACGAAAGTCTGCGTTTAATCGCGTTGATCCACACGTTGGACGTGTGGGAGAAAAAATAGAAATCGTCAACAGACGATTGGGGGACGCAGAGGCCAAAGGTCCCCCGTGTCGATGAACAGAGTCGACCAATAATCACCAAAGTGCGTGGAGGCTTAAGTGGAAAGACTGATCATAACGCACAGCATTCCGTCAATTTCGAGAGGAAAAATTCACTTTTGCCATCGCATGCGGTACCAAATAAAATTCATCGATATGTTGCTCGCGCATATAAATCGGCATCACTCACGTGAGAGAGAGAGAGAGAGAGAGAGAGAGAGAGAGAGAGAGCCCTCGCTCGTTCCCGCACGAACGCCATTATGCGCGGCGTGGTACAAAGGGGAAATAATTAGCGCTGGCCGAATGATAAGCCGACAATCTAGGCGTTTGTCATTAGCCTATCAAAGCAGAATGTCTCTCTGTCTTCTTTTTCTCTTTTTCCTTCAGCATCGCTGAACCACCACTGCTACCGCCGTTGGTCCCCCTTCCGGTCCCTCGCGCGACGCCCCGGCGGTCCCCTCGTCACTATCTCATTTCTCGTGGACCTTCGGCCTCGACACGCCTCTGGCGCCGTGGAAAATATGTGCGAACGCCGATCGGAGCAATTAGTATTTCTCCGGACTCTAATCTGGGCTCGCTCGAGCGCGGCGAATGCGCGTCTTTCGCGGTGCATTCTGCTCGTGCAACATGTTGGTAGAAGAGAGATAAAATAAAAGAGAGATGGAGGAAGGAGGACGCGGTTCGCGAGAGAAGAAAGGGGGAGGAGGGGGTAGTATCGCGAGACGCGCCTAGCTCGAAAGGGGGCGGGTGAGGGGAGAGGGAGAGAGAGAGAGAGAGAGAAAGGGGAGAAAGGAGGGAATAGAAGAGGACGATCACAGGATGGAAAGTAAGTGGTAGGATCTGAAACGGTCCGATGTGTATATCGTACCGCGTGAATTGACCGGCCAGATAAAACCGCACGAATGGACGGCGGGAGTTGTGCAGGGGGAAGCGGCGACGGGGACGGCAGAGGAAGAAAGTGAGAGAATATCTTGGCCGACACAGAAGCCGACGCTGCTAATGACTCTGTCCGCGGTAATCTCCGGGTGTTATCTGTCCTGGCTACCTGGGGCCCACCTACTTCGAATCACGAACCTGCACACGCTGCCGCCGCCGTGTCTTTCTTTCTTGCGTCTCTCCTTCTGCGCGCTCCTCTCCTCTCCCTCTCCCCATTCGCTCGTCCTTACACCATCGGGATCACACGGAATCCGGAGATCCCTTTAGATGTGCCGCTTTTTTGAGCCCTAATGCGATACGTGCATCTTTAAAATATACGTAGATCAATAAAAAGGTTTAAGCGCGTATCGATTTATTCTGTTTTCCAATCTCCACTTCCAAATCCCAGCACAAATTGTAGTAATATTTGATGTAATATTTGCGAATACAAAGAAAGACTGAAAAAAAATCGAGATATACTAAAAATATTAAGGATAGAATAGTCTGTCCTTCGGAGGACAGTTTGAATTTCACGCTGGTCGAGTCAAGAACAC